TAAAGAAAAAAATCAAATACACTGATTTGTTGATTCAAGTACAAAAAGAAAAGTTTAAGATTTTCCATCGAAAAATTTAAATTTGTGCAAACAATTATCCTATATACAATGACTTTGCTTTTCTGAGGAACTTATTCATAGAACATCATAATGATATGGTGCTTTCACATGCACGTATCAGGGACAACTTCCCACAATTCTTTTTTTCCCCGCAAATTTGATAACATGTTAATGACTGTTTCGATATGTACAAAATAAACAAACAAAATCCATCAAAAATAAAGTGGATGACTCTTTTACAAAAATATAAAGTCAATCTCTAGAACCAAAAGGCTAAACTAGCAGACAGCTTTATTTTCAATCATATAAGACACAATCATGACAATTCATCAATTCCATCTCTCTTTTTGCAGAGCCTGAAGAAATAATTTTACTGAAACAATCCACATGAAAAAAGTATCAATTAGAACATTAAAACAACTCATAAATAATACCTCAATATTCCATGCGAAAGTGGCCACAATATATCCTGCAACATACAACGTATCTTTGAAAAATAATTCAAATTCTTAATGACTTATGAATCAAGCAAATAATACATTTTCAGGCCAGTTATTCTCAAGCTTATCATACACAAATCAACAAATCAACAAATTGAATGTAGCAAGAGCATGTGTTCTTTAAGGGCCTATCTCACTGAGCAGCGAATGCTTGCGAACGTTGTGAATTTGGATTTGCCAACTTTTCTGACGAATGTTGGCGAAAATCAGCGACATTGTGTGACGTTTAGCGACAATTAGCAACATTTGAGCGAATGTCTCCGAAAGTGTTTGCGAAAGGCAGTTGGCGACTATTAGCGACTGTAAACAAATGTTAGCGACAACTTTTGCGAAGATTAGCAACTATTTGCCAATCCTTTGCCACTATTTGTGAACGTTTGAGACCTTTTGCTAACTACTGGTACTCAATGGGTCGATTTTATAAAGGAACCATATGGTAACGTGGTCGCTAGCTTTGGCGAAACACAGAGAACTGACGAAAACAAAGAGCAAAACCGTTTAACAACCGTTTGCAAAGGCTTACGACTGTTTTGCAAACGCCTGCAACTGTTTGCTGAAAAATAAATTCGCAAAGAAATTTTGAACATGTTCAAAATTTCTTTGCGACAAGAAAAACTGTTTACAACAAAGAAAACTGTTTGCGATCTTTCTTGCAACCTTTTACAACATTTTACAAACTCTGGCGAAACTCCAAATTTGCTACGTTCGCAAGCATTCGCCGCTCAGTGAGATGGGCCCTTTACACATCATTCAAAGTCATGTTGAGAACAATAGGGTAGAAATAGAGTATAGTTCTAACACCTATCCTGTACGGTAATTGACTTTCGTGTGATATCATTCAAAGCATTATGATGCAGATGGCAATAAATGATGTAGGCATTGGTTACAGCTAGGTCATTCAAGTGGCAGGTTAATTTCTTGTACCATTTAAGTGATTTACGCATGTCTACATATTTGTTAGTGAGTACATGTTGCAATCTAGTACAATGTCAGGTTTCTGAACATTCATGCCTGTAACAGGGTCTTTCTTGCAGGATTCGCCAAAGTTATTTGCATGCATAGTGCTTATCATGGTAACATCTCTCTTATCACTCCATAGCATAGACAGAAGTTCTTTGGTCCTGTGAAAGATAGCCTTCTCTCGACGCAACTTTCTATTTGGTTTGAGATCTTTTGGCATTTCCACACGATTCTTCCGAACAGTGCCACATGCTTTTGTCTTACACTTGAAAAGTGCAGTATACAACGTAGGACTGGAATACCAATTATCCATAAGTAAACAGTAACCTTTGCCAAGTAGTCCAACCATCATCGATAAAACCAGTTCGACAATGCTTTACTGGGTTCTCCCGGTATATAGCACGAAATTCCACTAGTATCCTAATGGGTCACATATTTTGTAGGCTTTCATACCATATTTGGCTGTTTTTCGTGGATTGTATGTTTTGAAACTGAGACGCCCGTAGAATCGGATGTGGGCTTCATCTATAGCTATGGACCGCCAAGGTGTGAACCCTGTGTGAAATGCTGTGGTAACTGCGTCGTAGTAGGGCCTTAGTTTGAACAGCGGTCATATAGTTTGGGTCGGCACTTTGCTTGATGCTATCATTGTTGTTGAAATGCAGAAAGTGGAGGATAAGTTGAAAGCGATATCGTGTCATGGCCTGGGAAAAGAATGGTGTGACTATGCACTTCCACAAGCGTCCATAATGCCCAGAAGATGATCAGTTCTCCTGGAAAAGATTAAAGAACATTACTAACCAACAAAAAATAATGATCTAGCTTGAATGATACGAGTAAGGCTTGCGACATGTGCCAGACACTGATTTGTAGCTACCAGGATTAACAGATAGTCAATTCCCATCATTAAGCAGATGCCATTCCTGCCTTCCTTGTATTAGGTTGATCTGACAAATCTGAAAGGATCTCCATGGTAGTTGCGCACATGGAAATAAAGGTATCAAACGCTTCATGCCGTTGTACCCATCTTGTGCGTGACAGCTCCTGAAGTTTGTGTTTACCAATGTCGAATACTGCAAATTCCCCATGCTTGTTTGCTGCGTTTGATGAACTTGTGTTCTTTTGCAGGTGACCAGCGGAAGAATTCGACGATCTAAAATGAAATGACAGGAAAATTAATAAATCATCACACTTTTTCAAAATTTTTGTTACACTGATTCACATTGTGCAGTGAATATAATTTCTAGTAAATCAAATACTTAATTTAAAAAAAAAACTGCATGTGCTAATAACATTCATTTAACATTTATTACGCACGCTACAAAATTGCGTGCCCCCCACCTCCCCTTCCTCTTTCCCGGTAAAAAAAACATCTTATAATATCATCCCCCCCCCCCCTTTTTTTTCCCTTCTCTTTTTCCCTTCTCATTATTCTCCTCTCCCTTTCTCTCCTCCCTCTTTTATTCTTCTTTCTCTCTTCCCTTTTTTTTTCTTTTTCCCCTCCTTTTCTTCTTCCCCCCTTCCCCCTTTTTTTACTGGGGGGAGGGGGAGGGCATGTGCCCCTCTGAATCCGCTGTGCTAGATCTGTTTATAAAATCAGGCCCAGACTATTTCAGTTTACAGGATAGACTTGGGGTAAGGGCTTAGGCCCTTACTCGCAGTGGTGGAAACAGTTACTCCTATTTAAAAAAAATCACATACATCAACAAGGCAAAATATTACATCCTCTCTGACATGATCATGAAGACCACAACATTCATTTAAATCTATTTATTGGTTACTAACCTAAAAAAAATAATTTCCCAAAGTGAGCGATTCATCCAAGCACCATAACATGTTGGGTATATGGTTATTAATATTTTTTCAATATATATTTAACAGGTGTACATTCAGTTTGAAGTTTTTATTCTGCAGGAACAATGTAATTAAAGATAAATCATTGCAGATCTGTACTCTAGTAGTGTCATTAGGTATACCTCATGTCACAATTTAAGACTTACTTAAAATCGACAAAAGATGGAAGTTTGAGAATTCACACTATAGTTATACCTTCGTTTTCAGAAATGTCTTCATGTAGAACACCAACCTCGGGCTCCATTTTTCTTCCACATTGAGCACATCACTTGTAGCTTCTGCAGAAAATGTGAGAAAATATGAAAAAAACATGAGAACAATTTGAAAAACTTGCTGCATCATGTTCACCAAAACTATGCAAAAGGTTATGGATTCATTAAGTTTAATTGTTTTTAATATTATATTTCAATCACTGCCTATGGCTTGTACATATTCTTCTGATATTACTTCCTCTTGCAGATGCCAAGTTACATTCAATTCAATTCAATTCATATTTATTTCATTTCCAACAGCAAGATAAACAAAGGTAGTTACATTTTTTCATACATAATTCATTTTTTCTGGTAACTATACAAATACACTTTGCACATTATAAAATTATTACAAGAAATTATTACAAGAAATTCTTTGTCAGCATCCTGGGATTCAAAATCCACCAAGTCAACATAGGTGTCATATGATGTAGAGGCTATGGGCTGTACATTTCTCATCCAAGAGGGCATGGAGCAAGGTCTTGCGTCTTGTGCTGACTGAAGAATTGCTAAATTCTGGGAATTGGTGCAAAGGTTAATATCCTGTGGCAACTCGTCATCGCTGGACTCCTCATCTGATGCACACCTTGCTCTCTTTCTCCCTGGGTCGTCGTCGTCCCTCACTAAAGAAATCCTCATAATTAATGCCATATTGGGGTGCCATCATAACATACACGCTCCCTTGGTCTTGGCCAGCAAGCACTTCCGTTCCACCCCAGGTATAGTTGTTTGAAACCTTTGGTCTTTGCAGTTTCTTCCCTGTCCCTGGTATACACCTGAGCAAGTCAAAATGAAGGATCCCTCCCTCTCCTAGTCCGTTGAAGACAGAAGACACCTCCTCCTTTACTTCCTCGGCATGCCGCCCCCGCCACAAGCTTATCTTGCCTGCATACCCAGCCTCTGCAAACTGCTTGATCCCCAAAACTCCATTCATGATGAGGGTGTCCAGCTCTCCCTTATGCCTGTTCAGCAGGTGGTGGTGGTAACATATTGCCTTTATTATCTCATTTCTGTTCTCCATGGTGACCAACCTCCTCCATTCAATTTCTTCTAGCACGTCTCCTTCATCCATTCCATGAATTGATGCTTGGTCAAGAACAGCTTTCATCCTGCACAGATAATTTCACCTCGTCCATTTTATGTCTCTAGCCAATTCCCATAGTGCTTGGCTGTCACTGGGCTCACACTTTATCTAGTAGTAGGCCTATTCCATCCCCTCTGGCAGTAAACCACTTGATTCCTTCATTGTCTTCTCTACATTGACAAGGGCTACCTCCATGATGATGTGGTACACCACCATGTACCACTCAAAGTGCTTGTGTGGATACCGATAGTACGACATTCGTTGATCCAGGAGGTCCACGCCTCCCACCGATTAGTTGTACCCCTTCACTGCTTTGGGCTTCTTCACTTGTCGAGTTCCTGTTGCTGATCGTTTGTCACGGATGGTTTTGTCAACAGTGCCAGAGCCATGAACAGTAGACAACACACTAACCCTCTTGGTGTCATGCCAGGTGATACCCAACATGTCGTCCTTTCGGAAAAACGCTGGGTCGTCTCCTTTCTGAGCTTGAAGGGATGCCTCTCTCGTGGTCGGTGGAAGTCCTTTTCTGTTCAATCTTAGGGTACCGCAAGCCCCCAGCTTCTGGTCACGGAGATATTCATACAGGTCAGGTGATGTGTAGAATGAGTCTGTGTACACTGTTCGGCCAGAACCATTGAAAGCACACAAAAGATTCTTGACGACACGAGTAGTCAATCCATCACCATCTCTTGGTTGCTGCTCATTTTTGCCAGTGTAGACTGACCAGTCCAAGCAAAACCCAATGCAGGAATCTGTGATTACCCAGAACTTGATCCCCCACTTCGTCGGTTTCAGAGAGAGGTACTGCTTGAAGCCTACTCTCCCATTGAATGGTGCAAGACTCTCATCCATTGACAGGTCGCGGCCAGGAGAAAAGGATGCCTGGTATGTAGGACGAACGCGATCAATGATGGGCTAAATTTGAAGAGGGGATTGTATCCTTCCCTCTCCACAGGCAACTCTCTTCATTGTCAACAAAGTGGAGAAAGAAGTGAATTGGCTGGTATCTACAGCAGAAAAGGAATAAGTAAAAAAAGAAATACAAAAGGTAATTGAAAAAACAAAACTATACAAAAGAGCCTGAAGAAATTATTTACTGAAACATTCCACATGAAAAAGTATCATTGAGAAAATTAAAACAACTGATGAATAAGAAAATTTTGTCACAACAATATACCTGAATATTCCATGCAAAAGTGGCCAAAACATATCCTGCAACATACATGTATTTTTGAAAAATATTTCAAATTCTTAATGACTTATGAAACAAGCAAATTATACATATTCAGACAAGTTATTGTCAAGCTTATCATACACAAATCAACAAATTGAATTCAGCAAGAGCATGTGTTCTTTACACATCATTCAAAGTCTACAAATATGATGAAATAGAGTATAGTTCTAACACCTATCCTGTACGGTAATTGACTTTCATGTGATATCGTTCAAAGCATTATGATGCAGATGGCAATAAATGATGTAGACATTGGTTACAGCTAGGTCATTCAAGTGGCAGGTTAATTTCTTGTACCGTGATTTACGCATATCTATATCTATGTATATTTGTTAGTGTGAAACTCAGTGAGATCTACACCACCCCCATGTACATGTTGTAATCTAGTACAATGTCAGGTTTCTGAACATTCATGCCTGTAACAGGGTCTTTCTTGCAGGATTCGCCAAAGTTATTTGCATGCATAGTGCTTATCATGGTAACATCTCTCTTATCACTCCATAGCATAGACAGAAGTTCTTTGGTCCTGTGAAAGATAGCCTCCCCTTGATGCAACTTTCTATTTGGTTTGAGATCTTTTGGCATATCCACACGATTCTTCCGAACGGTGCCATTCGATCGTCTTATGCTTGAAAAGTGCAGTATACAACGTAGGACTGGAATACCAATTGTCCATAAATAAACGGTACCCTTTGTCAAGGAGTCCAACCATCATTGATAAAACCAGTTCAACAATGCTATACTGGGTTCTACTGGTATATAGCATGAACTTCCACGTGTATTCTAAGGGTCGCATAGTTTGTAGGCTTTCATACCATATTTGGCTGTTTTTGCAGATTGTATGTTTTTGAAACTGAAACACCCGTAGAATCGGATTAGGGCTTCATCTATAGCTATGGACCGCCAAGGTGTGAAGTCTGTGTGAAATGCTGTGGTAACTGCGTCGTAGTAGGGCCTTAGATTGAACAGCGATCATAGTTTGGGTTAGGCACGTCGCTTGATGTTATCATTGTTGTTGAAATGCAGAAAGCGGAGGATAAGTTGAGAGCGATCTCGTGTCATGGCCTGGGAAAAGAATGGTGTGACTATGCACTTCCTAGTGGACTAGTAGAGTTCAGCGACAGGTTTTCCAACGACTCCCATTAGCATGCATAATGGCCAGAAGATGATCAGTTCTCCTGGAAAAGAAAGAGAGAACATTACTACCCCCCCCCCCTAAAAAAAAGAAGAAGATCTAGCTTGAATGATACGAGTAAGGCTTGTGATATGTGCCAGACACTGGTTTGTAGCTACCAGGGTTAACAGATAGTCAAATCCCATCATTACTCGAAGTAACGAGAAAGCTGATGCCATTCCTGTCTTCCTTGTATTAGGTTGATCTGACATATCTGAAAGGGTCTCCATGTTAGTTGCGTACATGGAAATAAAGGTATCGAACGCTTCATGCCGTTGTACCCATCTTGTGCGTGACAGCTCCTGAAGTTTGTGTTTACCATTGTTGAATACTGCCAATACCCCCATGCTTGTTTGCTGCGTTTTTCATGACCTTTGATCCTTTGCAGGTGATCAGCGGAAGAATTTGACGATCTAAAATGAAATGACAGGAAAATTAATAAATCATCACACTTTTTCAAAATAATGTTACACTGATTCACATTGTCCGGTGAATTTAATTTATAACATTCATTTTTAAACCGTTGTTTCTCTCTATTTAATTGGTTGGTCGAATTTTTTAATTTCAAATACAGTAAAGTTGCCTACCTTAGCTTTTTTGGACTTCTGCATTTTGACTTGATGTTGAAGTTCAACTTGAACTCTAAAGAGGCCAGTTAACCGATCTCGATCTCCAGCATTTTATGCACGCAATAGCTAGCTAACGTGCCTTCCTTGTATTATGCACACTGCAAAATTGCGTCCCCCCCCCCCCCCCAGTGGCGGATACAGGGGAGGGGCCCAGTTACTCCCATTTAAAAAAATCACATACATCAACAAGGCAAAAAAATACATCCTCTCTGACATGATCAAGAAGAGAAAGGGAGGGAAAAAGAGAAAGGGAGGGAGGAAGAGAAAGGGGGAAGAACATGATCATTCATTTAGATCTATTATCTATTTATTTGATACTAACCTGCAGTTGTCCTAGACCATTTTCTCTTAGATAGGAGGATGTGTATCGGTTCGTTTCTTCAGCAACTCTTTCAAATGTTTCATTTGATACAAATTTCAGGTAGCAGTCAATTGGGGTGGATGTTTCTGAAGGTTCTATTTATAAGAAAAACTACATACTCTGATCAAAAATTTGTTAAAATAACACATAAAAATCATGTGGTATTTATGTCTGTCGAAGATGGTTCACGGTCGAAGAGTTGATGTTTTTATGAAAGTCTGCTATCAGGAAAGATGAGCATAATTTGATTAGATTGAAAGAATGAAATATTTGGATTTGAGTGTTTTTGGATACTTCATATGTCTTCTTTCCCCTCTTCTTTTTTTAATAAAAAAAAAAGTTTGCTTGTCCATTTTAGACCTATTTTAATGAACCCCATAGGAAATATGTGATAATTGCCTATAGGGGAAAGTATCACATTTTGTGGGTAGAATGTTTCTGGAGGGTGTGCTGTGCATGTGTGGGGGATGTGAGATTTGTTTGTGTGGATGAGTGTGTGTGTGTGTGGGTGTATGTGCACTGGTGTGGTATGTAACAAAAATTATCAAATATCATGTATAGAAAGGATGTGAGATTTTTTTGTTTTGTTGATTGATATAAATCTTTCTACTGTTAAACCAGAAACTTGGAGGCGTGAAACTATTGCAAAAACTATATTAAAGCGTCTGACATTTTATCAGTAAGAAGCTTTTGCCAATTTCACAACCACTAGGGAAATTTGCAAAGATTCAATGAGCGCATAAGTTTCTGGTTTTATAGTTTTCTTTTTTAATAATAGTTTGGTAATCACGTATTTATGTTTTCTGTGTTTGTTTTTAAATTCCTGACCAATATGTTTCAGCATTGGAATCGATTAATGAAGTAAAAAATGTATAATAATTTGTATTGTCCGTAATTCTTATGGTGGTAAAACTGTTACATTTTTGTTCGCTGTGTTACATTTTGTTAAAGGTGTGGTTCTATTATTAAGATATAGTTTTTAAAATCATATATATTTCTACTTTAATTGTATGAGAAAATATATTGCCTCCTTTTTTAATAGAAAATAAAAATGTAATTATTCATCTAAGAATGATGTGCTCCATTCAAAATCACTAACAGTTAAAAAGTGTATGCAGTAGTTCATGAAATGCACAAAATATTTTGGACTGATTGTTACCAATCTTTATTAAAAACCTGCACTTTGTTTGTAGTTCTAGTATATCTTGATAGTGTTGATTCCCCCCCCCCCCAATATTTAAGATCTTTTTAACTGTCAACAATGATATTACATGTGTTTTGGTCTTATTAATTTTGCATATTTTTTTCTTCTTTTCTGTTGTATACCTGCTCAGTGATTTGAAATGAACTGAATGAACTCAATTTTTTTTTAAATAATTTTTTCAAAATCTGTGTCGGTGCATAAATCCTATAAAAAAATTATAGGGGTGAAATATAGTGTTATGAATATGAAAGACAACCATTTTAGATAGTGAGTTATAAAATTCTTGAATTTGTAATGTGTATGTATACCTTCTGCAATCCTATAGGTGTTATGTGTTTTTGTTAAAGTGTATTCATGTATTTATGTGTGTGTAAACTTGCTTTTCATTACATGTACAGTTGGTACTGATTATGTGACATAGTGACACAGAGGGGGAGTGGTTGAGGGAAGAAAGAAAAAAAAACTTTTTTAGTGCTCACTATCACCCCTGAACAATGAATATATTAAATTGTATACTTGCACCTAAAATGTCAAAAATCTACTGCTGAGAAGTTTCAATTCCCTACTGTATTTCCTACAACAATCATGTTCAGATAACATATATTATTGGAATAGTCCCACATTTTAAGTGGTGATGGGCAAACTGTTGAAATTGCTTGAGGTTGATTTTCTTTAAAGTCTATGCAATCATGTATGAAATGTGACAAAAATAATGATCTTCGGATGTATTAAGGTACGTTTTACTATTCATTGTATGCATTATGTGTCGTCATGTTATTACAAGAAGAAAATAGAGTTTTTCTGCCGTATATAATTTTCCTTCTGTTTTGTTATATATACACTGCATTGTAAATTGATTTATATAATATAGATGCTTACAAAAAGAATATTGATTTGTTACATTGTAAATTGATTTATATGTTTATATAAACAGCTAGTTGATGAACATCAATGAAGTTAGATACAATACAATACAATACATGTATAAACATTGATGTATTCTAAAGAAATGATTGGTAATACTGGAACTAAAAGATGATTTGTTTCCAAAGCCTCCCAAGTTGTAGGTTGGCAATTTATTTCAATAAATTCTATTTTGATAAATTACAGAATATCCTGTATGTTTATGTGTGTTTTGTTTTTGTTTTGTTTTTAAATACATATGCTTACTTATATTAATTGGTGAGGTATATGAATGATGAAGAGAAAGGGTGGGAAGAAGAGAAAGGGGGGAAGAAGAGAGAGGGAGGGAAGAAGAGAAAAGGAGGGAAGAAGAGAAAGAGTGGGATGAAGAGAAAGGGAGGGAAGAAGAGAAAGGGAGGGAAGAAGTGAAAGGGAGGGAAGAAGAGAAAGGGAGGGAAGAAGAGAAAGAGTGGGAAGAAGAAAAAGGGAGGGAAGAAGAGAAAGGGAGGGAAGAAGAGAAAGGGAGGGAAGAAGAGAAAGGGAGGGAAGAAGAGAAAGGGTGGGAAGAAGAAAAAGGGGGGGAAGAAGAAAAAGGGAGGGAAGAAGTGAAAGGGAGGGAAGAAGAGAAAGGGAGGGAAGAAGAGAAAGAGTGAGAAGAAGAGAAAAGTGGGAAGAAGAAAAGGGAGGGAAGAAGAGAAAGGGAGGGAAGAAGAGAAAGAGTGGGAAGAAGAGAAAGGGTGGGAAGAAGAGAAAGGTGGGAACAAGAAAAGGGAGGGAAGAAGAGAAAGGGAGGGAAAAAGAGAAAGGGAGGGAGGAAGAGAAAGGGGGAAGAACAGAAAGGGTGGGAAGAAGAGAAAGGGAGGGAAGAAGAGAGAGGGAGGGAAGAAGAGAAAGGGAGGGAAGAAGAGAGAGGGAGGGAAGAAGAGAAAGGGAGGGAAGAAGAGAAAGGGAGGGAAGAAGAGAAAGGGAGGGAAGAAGAGAAAGGGAGGGAAGAAGAGAAAGGGTGGGAAGAAGAAAAAGGGGGGGAAGAAGAAAAAGGGAGGGAAGAAGTGAAAGGGAGGGAAGAAGAGAAAGGGAGGGAAGAAGAGAAAGAGTGAGAAGAAGAGAAAAGTGGGAAGAAGAAAAGGGAGGGAAGAAGAGAAAGGGAGGGAAGAAGAGAAAGAGTGGGAAGAAGAGAAAGGGTGGGAAGAAGAGAAAGGTGGGAACAAGAAAAGGGAGGGAAGAAGAGAAAGGGAGGGAAAAAGAGAAAGGGAGGGAGGAAGAGAAAGGGGGAAGAACAGAAAGGGTGGGAAGAAGAGAAAGGGAGGGAAGAAGAGAGAGGGAGGGAAGAAGAGAAAGGGAGGGAAGAAGAGAGAGGGAGGGAAGAAGAGAAAGGGAGGGAAGAAGAGAAAGGGAGGGAGGAAGAGAAAGGGGGAAGAACAGAAAGGGAGGGAAGAAGTGAAAGGGAGGGAAGAAGAGAAAGGGAGGGAAGAAGAGAAAGGGAGGGAGGAAGAGAAAGGGGGAAGAAGAGAAAGGGAGGGAAGAAGAGAAAGGGAGGGAAGAAGAGAAAGGGAGGGAAGAAGAGAAAGGGTGGGAAGAAGAGAAAGGCAGGGAAGAAGAGAAAGGGAGGGAAGAAGAGAAAGGGTGGGAAGAAGAGAAAGGGTGGGAAGAAGAGAAAGGGAGGGAAGAAGAGAAAGGGAGGGAAGAAGAGAAAGGGTGGGAAGAAGAGAAAGGGAGGGAAAAAGAGAAAGGGAGGGAGGAAGAGAAAGGGGGAAGAACAGAAAGGGTGGGAAGAAGAGAAAGGGAGGGAAGAAGAGAAAGGGTGGGAAGAAGAGAAAGGGAGGGAAGAAGTGAAAGGGAGGGAAGAAGAGAAAGGGAGGGAAGAAGAGAAAGGGAGGGAAGAATAGAAAGGGATGAATAGAAACCCTCTTCTCGTATTATGAATAGAGACTCTCATTTTGTATTATGAATAGCGGTACTTATGACCCCCAATGTAATTATGAATAGTACCCCCTTTTTCATGTTTATGAATAGCATCCCCAATTTTGTATTATGAAGCGGTCCTTTTATGAGTAATGGCCAGCAATATGAATTATATATATATGAATATGAAATATTTCTTTATGAATAGTGACCCATTTTTTGTTTTATGATTAGTGGTCCTTCAGGTATTGGAAGTTACACGTTATGAATACAAATGCTGTGAATCATCATCATCATCATCATGAATAGCGGTCAATCCTTATGGCGAGCAGACCCTGGCCGAGAATACTAGTACGCTGAACATTTATTTATAAATAATACTGTTTGTGTTTCTATTATTTATACATTGTAACCTACACTATAAAATACATTTCTTCAAGCAAGTATTAAATGTAAATGTAAACTGTACACAAATCCAATCATTGAAGCAAATCATTTATTGCGATATGTTGATTATAAAAACATCCTTACTTCAGTCTTGCGTGCAACAAGTAAACATTATTTTGCTCAGTTTCAAGCAACTTCAAACGATATCAGGGGGACTTGGAAAGTGATAAAAAATGTGTTCAAGTCAAAGAAAAAAATTCTGATGTAAAGAATATTGAAATTGATGGTCGTTTAGTGGAAAATAAGAATATTATTGTGGAAATTTTTTTGCAGTAGGTCTATTTGTCCTAATCTGTCAAAAATCTGTTAACAATTTCCTTAAAGAATCTAACAAGAAAAGCTTATTCCTTTTCCCAGTAGTTAGGGAAGAGTTGCTTAATGACATAATTAAACAGGTTATCTTAGGGATTATTCAACCCCTTATTCATGTTTTTAATTCATCGATGTGAAATGGAATAGTCCCTGAAAACATGAAAATTGCAAAAAGTCGTACCCGTTTTTAAAAAGGGAGATTATTTCTATTATTATTTCTTATTTCTCATATTTTCTCTTTTCTCCCGTCTCTCGATTTTTTGTTTGTTGTTGATGTTGTGTGTATACACTTCTTGTTCCTTATACCACCCTTTTCCTAATGTTTTCTTAGATAGTCACAAATATGTACTCCCATCATGCTTATCTTGTTGCTAGTATATGTACCAACCAATTATTTGGTCCACAGGGTCCCCTAAAACTTACAAGCTCTGCTTTTACTAGGGTCTCCTCGTCTTTCTTTTAGTTCTCTTTGTTTTTACCATTGCCATAATTTTTTTTTTGCATTGTAAATGTGAATTGATCTAATGTTATGCTATATGTGACATTTGAAAGAAACTGGGGACGAATAAATGTCCTATCTATATCTTATCTTATTTAAAAAAAATTATGTGGACATTATTATTTGTAAATAATGGATAACATGAAATCATTACCGTATTCATATATAATGAATATCGTGAAATTATTATTTATGAAATACTTATAAAATATTAATTGCATTATATATAAATAATTATTTGACAATAATTACTGTAAGGTAAATAATGAATTAAATACATAAATGTTGGGGTAAATAATATTTCTACAAACGGCGCTTCGTAGTCGCCTACGTCTCTGGGTATTCAAAATGGAAGAAGCGCGCTGGATGAAATAATTAAATGAGCTATTTCAAAAAGTCGTAAAGTGACGACGTACGTCACTCAATCTGTAACAAGCCATGCATTCAAACAGCAATGGTGATATGCTGGGCAGTAAAACAGCATCGTTATTTTAAATGGTTCGTGCTCTGAGTCTGAGAGCCCTGCTTTCATATCGGCTCTGTGCAGCGTCTCTATGGAGTCGGGCTAACACGGACCCGTCCCAGGCCAGCCGCCCTCCCGACGGTCTTTCCTCCTTCGCGATGATGAGGAAAACCAAGCGAGCACATGTTCGGAGAGCTCGAGAGAGGAAATGAAGCCCGGATGCTGCTGTACTTGTGTGTGCATGTGCGCGCCTGTACATGCTGTGCTCTGATGTTGATTCAGCCTTGTGTTGTGGTGATAACAAGGTATTTAGACCCCTACTACAAACATAAACATTTGTAGTCTATTAATATTGGCTCTAGTTCAGAAGTCTATCCAAAATTTGACCCGTAACTCCGGCCTAAAGTAAAGTCTTAAAGATACCCTACTAAAACATACCCAAACATGCCAAAAGGAAGTAAATATTCATCAAATGTTCAAATTAAGTCATGATTTAAAAGTTGATGTGTTTGTTACATGTTTCACGTTAATTATTTTATCTGTTTCGGATTATTTTTCCTAAAAATGATGACTTATAATATGCACTTTCTTACAGGATTCAAGACAAACTGTAACTCCGGGAAGCTCCAACACCGGCGCGCAGCGTCGGAGCTTCGGTCAAACTGTCGTGGTGGCTTCGAAAAAAAAAATGGGGTGACGTTATCGTTAAAATCTGCAAAGGGAGTACTTACAATTTTTACATCATAGGGTGCACGACTTCTCAGGGCATAACAATGATCACTTGAATTCATAATTTGAAGAAGTCTTCGATGGGAAAAAAGGGTTTTTCAGAGCACTACCCAAACGACTATTCCATGTTGCAGCGTCGATTCAAAATGGCGAAGAGACTGTACGCATGCTCGGCAGAGCCGCAGAAAGTATGAATATTCATGCTATCGAGTGCCGATCGCTCGAAATTGCTGAATATGCACGACTCGAACAAACAGAGTCCTTCTCAACCTCGTGCATATTCAGCGATTTCGAGCGATCGGCACTCGATAGCATGAATATTCATACTTTCTGCGGCTCTGCCGAGCATGCGTACAGTCTCTTCGCCATTTTGAATCGACGCTGCAACATGGAATAGTCGTTTGGGTAGTGCTCTGAAAAACCCTTTTTTCCCATCGAAGACTTCTTCAAATTATGAATTCAAGTGATCATTGTTATGCCCTGAGAAGTCGTGCACCCTATGATGTAAAAATTGTAAGTACTCCCTTTGCAGATTTTAACGATAACGTCGCCCCATTTTTTTTTTTCGAAGCCACCATGACAGTTTGACCGAAGCTCCGACGCTGCGCGCCGGTGTTGGAGCTTCCCGGAGTTAGACAAACTGCAGCACAATACAATTGCATACGGACGGTGGGATGCGGGCGCGTGTGTGTGTTCAGTAAGTGACCGTAAACTAAGATTAATACAGTCACTAACTTAACACACGCGCGTGCCTGCACCCGACCGACTTTTAAATCATGACCTTTGTTTGGACATTTGGATTTGATGAATATTTACTTCATTTGGGGTAGGGTGTCTGAACGATTTTTCAATTTTCAATTTGGGATCGTTTTTCACCATTTTTGTTTGATATTTGAATAAAAAATGTTATCAGAATAATACATTTCAAATTTCAAGTCTCACCGATGTTTCTATCAAAAGTTACAGCCCCTCCAACACGCTGGTATATTCATATCATTTTGGTCAAAATCGACGAAAAAGACGTCCACGCAGAGTGATGTTGTTTTGCTAAATTTAGCCAAACAGCTGTATCGCGCGATATGCAAGCGTATGCATATCGTACGCATGCTGCTAAGCCAATCCGCGACTTGCAGCTTGAGCTACGCTGTCTCCGCGACATGTGCGATTGACTAGTATGGTTGGCGTTCGTCGCACAATAAACCCGGAAGTGAATGCACGTTATAGTCAATGGCAATATCGCGGAGACAACGCACGTTGTCTCCGCGATATTGCCATTGACTATAACGTGTATTCACTTCCGGGTTTATCGAGGGAATTGCCAACCATAATTTCAGTCACTATAATTTGGGGTTTCGTTCGTGCGCGGAGATGTTACGCGATGTAACCATGGTTTGGACTGAGCGGAGCGCACGCCTCCTAATTAGCTGATCCACCAAATAGCGAGAAGGGTATTTTTAAACTGTTATCAGTTGTGATCCCTGGGGGCTAGCGAAAATATAATCACATAGAATTGTTCCTTAGGACTGGGACTACTTATCGATCGGGGCGTCATATCTCAAAAGTGACAAACCTCAGAGTTAGCCAGGACACAATGTTTAAATTGCTGTTTTGACCAAGATATTTTTAGAATTTCGGGGGCTACGCCCCTTTGGAAATATTGGAATTCACCTGCTCTTTCATATGACACCTCATTCATTGATTATCACCTTCAGGATCACAACTGATAAAGGTTTGAATCTCGATTTGAAAAAAAAAAATTGACTTTTTTTGCATGGTCGCGCAATGCACGTAGGCTGCATAGGGATGCGTGTAATCTCTATGGGAAGAATTTTAGCACACAACATCGGGTGTGCGATCAGACACCCTATTTGGGGTATGTTTTAGTACGTATCTCCTAGGCTTGAGTCGGTACGGTCGATCACACCGGGACCCGACCGTTGCCGTCGGGTCCCGGTTTCGTTTTTTGAGAACCGACGCTCCGAAAAAAATAACGAAATATGTAAGAAATTGCAGTTTTGCACACCACTAAAATCAATCCACCTTAAAACTTAAGTATTTAATTGTTACCAATCATATTCTAGCTCATCCTGAATCAATCCGAACTGCTGATATAAATATGGGTTGCAAGGCAGTTCGCCCCATGGGGTTGTTGTTGCCAGCTGCTAGCTAGCTACTGTACTGGCCGGGTCTCTCGGCAGGATTAATAATCAGGTTGAAAGAAACATTAATGTTTTAATAATAAAACGGCTTTCTAAAAAGTACTTCTTTACAACATACCGATCGAATAATTTTTAAAAGACAAAATAGATATTTTTTTCTTTGATTTTGAACACCGCATGCTTCTTTTAAAAGCTAAAAATTACTTGGTAATCACAAGAAGTTTCGATGCGGATAGCTGTTGCAAGGCAAGTTCAGACTAGTCTCGGAAAAATGCGCAGTGCTCCTCGTAATTAGCTATAATGCGTGCCAGAACGAACCCAAACAAAGACGTGATCGTAACGAGAAAAAAAAAATCATTAAAAACTACGAGAGCACAATTGGAAAGACAACTACTCAAAATTATCGTAAGCAGATACATAACTTGGAGGAAAAAAACAATAGTTGTCCAAGAAAAGCCACATAAATAGTGATATTTAAGGAGTTACTATAGGTACAATCATTATCGGAAGGGCCAGCTGCAAATTCCGAATTACACGTGTTTAAATTGAACACGAGGCAAATACCGCCCTCTACGGTAAAAAGCAGTATAACAAAGGATTCAAGTATTTGCAGCAGGCCCCTTGCGATAAAAATGTACCCAGTTACTCCTCGATTATCACAATTTCTGTGGCATTTCTTGGGCGATTATTGAATTCTTTGTCCAAGTTATCTATCTGATTATGGTAATTTTGAGCAGTAGTTGTCTTTCCAATTGTGCTCTCGAAGTTTTTAATGATTTTTGTCTCGTTACGATCACGTCTTTGTTTGGGTTCGTTCTGGCACGCATTACAGCTAATTACGAGGAGCACTGCGCATTTTCCCGAGACTAGTCTGAACTTGCCTTGCAACAGCTATCCGTATCGAAACTCTTGATTACCAAGTAATTTTCAGCTTTTAAAAAAAAGCATGCGATGTTTAAAATAAGAGATAAATATTTATTTTGTCTTTAAAATATTATATGATCGGTATATTGTACAGAAGAAATTTTTAGAAAGCCGTTTTATTATTCTAACATTCATATTTTTTGACCAGATTTATTCAACCTGCATAAATCAAAATGGCGGCTCGAATGTTGTCTTTTTATTTCTGCCCCAGTTTTTTAACTTTTAGAGGCACGAAAATGGCACTAAACATCGCCAATCATGGATGAAAATAATGTCAAATGGAAGAATATACCGATCTGAGCCGAGGTATGCATGTGTGATTTATTTGATTGATAAAAAAGGTCACTTTTAAGGGACATACTGATGATATGCGCTTTTTATAGAGGCAAGTGACAAATCCTGCGAGCTGATTTCGGGACACCGGGTCCCGATCGGTACATGGCCGTCGGGACCCGGTTTATGAAAATCCCGACATGACTCAGGCCTAGTATCTCCACACGGGAGTTACAGGTCAAAGTTTGGATAGACTTCTGAACTAGCGCTGTATTATTTATTTGGTACACTTCCAGATTCTGCCCAAAGGCAAAGTAGAAAAAGCTCCTGGAAAAAGAATAGTTACGCACAATTTCTCACTAGCCATGCTTCAAAGAATGATCAATTTGTGAACACTGATTTTCCTGGTTTTGACTCACATTGACAGTGTAATTTAAATGGGAACATTGATAGATCTATAATCTTTGCATCACCCACAGAGCAAAGTGATGAATCCTACAAGGCAAGATGAGAAACCTCTTGGATCTCTCACTCTCTGCTGTTGCCATACTTTGGGGGACACAGGAGGACATTGTCTGGTTCAAGGAAGGCATGGTGCTGGCTGAGCTGGGACTTGATCATGATGTGGAGATGGAGATGTCTTGCGTTTCTTATTACAGATCCACAGGTATGCTTAAAGATAAAGATATGGTGTCTGATCGCGCACCCGATGTTGTGTGCTAAAATTCTTCCCGTGGAGATTACACGCATCCCTATGCAGTCTACGTGCATTGCGCGACCATGCAAAAAAAGTCATTTTTTTTTTTTTCAAATCGAGATTCAAACCTTTATCTGTTGTGATCCTGAAGGTGATACTCAATAAATGAGGTGTCATATGAAAGAGCAGGTGAATTCCAATATTTCCAAAGGGGCATAGCCCCCGAAATTCTAAAAATATCTTGGTCAAAACAGCAATTTAAACATTGTGTCCTGGCTAACTCTCAGGTTTCTCACTTTTGAGATATGACGCTCCGATCGATAAGTAGTCCCAGTCCTAAGGAACAATTCTATGTGCTTATATTTCCGCTAGCCCCCAGGGATCACAACTGATAACAGTTTAAAAATACCCTTCCCGCTATTTGGTGGATCAGCTAATTAGGAGGCGTGCGCTCCGCTCAGTCCAAACCATGGTTACATTGCGTAACATCTCCGCGTACGAACGAAACCCCAAATTCAATTACACATTATAGTGAATGAAAGTATGGCTAGCCATTCGCGCAACAAACCCGGAAGTGAATACACGTTATTGTCAATGGCAATATCGCGGAGACAACGTGCACGTTGTCTCCGCGATATTGCCATTGACTACAACGTGTATTCACTTCCGGGTTCTATGGTGCGAACGGCCACCCATACTAGTCAATGGCACATATCGCAGAGACAGCGTGGCTCAAGCTGCAAGTCGCGCATTGGCTTAGCAACATGCGTACTATATGCATACGCTTGCATATCGCGCGATACAGCTGTTTGTCTGAATTTAGCAAAACACCATCACTCTGCATGGACGTCTTTTTCGTCGATTTTGACAAAAATGATATGAATATACCAGCGTTTTGGAGGGGCTGTATCTTTTGATAGAAACATCGGTGAGACTTGAAATTTGAAATGTATTATTCTGATTACATTTTTTATTCAAATATCAAACAAAAATGGTGAAAAACGATCCCAAATTGAAAATTGAAAAATCGTTCAGACACCCTAATAAAGACCAGTTATGGTCATGCGATCGCATTGTGAAAGAAACGTGGAATCGATCAGAAAAGGTTGATCATCTAGCATATAAGCATTTGTAATGCAAGGATCTGGAATCATCAAAATGATAAGAAATTTGGCCCAGTCTTGGTAAAGTTACAAGCACTGTACACAGAAAGATGTATATGGGACTAAGCACACGTGCGCGACATGTGCGTTATATCTATCAGGTCCATATAGATATAATAATTTACCAAATATAAAAAAATTCCTGGTCACCTGGCACTGTCCAGGCCGACGCTTACCCGTGCCAGGGAGAGCGCATGCCACTGGCATGGTACCGTCGGTAAAAATGTTTTCCAGCTCAATCAAGTCAAACTCACCACTTAGAAACTTGGACCAAATGTCCGGATTTCTGTTTGGACTCGGAGGAAAATGGATTATTCTGCCATCTTTGGTTTTTAAAACAGCATTGTTTACTGTTATTATATTTATTAAAGCCGCGCCTTCAACTGCAATTCAAAGTAAAATTGCATGAGTTTTCGGAGACGGACCTGGAATACTGCTCCCGTGGTATGGTGGTGGCAAAAAAAAATCAAAAAATCAAAATATTCAACAACAAAAAAAACATGGCGTCCGAATATTCGAGTATTCGCTTTTAAGTCTTACCAAATATAGTCGACAACCACCGGGTGGATAACCACAGACTTAACCATGCATTTTACCTTGCCCTTCTACAGATTTCTGTAGTCGAGAATTCTAAAGAGATTGAAAGATGAGCACTCGCTCCTGGACATTCCTGCATCATTCAGAGTCCAGAATCTCCTGCTGGCCTATACAATACAACAGCTCTCTGATCCCTGGTGCGTAGTCCTCATGGATATTCCAGCTAATCCTTGTCACACACATCTCTTTGTTGTAAGTTTATTAAATCTTTTAGGGCACAACCTCACTGCTCATTATTATTTTCTTCTTCAAAATACAATATTAAATGGCCTTGAGTAGGATTCAAGTGAAATATTTTCAAAGCAAGTGTGATATACCCTTTGTGTCCAAAGAAAGAAAAGCCATTCAATATTATTACAGTTAACTCAGCAAATCTGTTGGAGCCACATCAAGTAGCTTGACTTAGAAAGAGTGAAAGGGAAGTCCACCCTGATATTAAGTTGATTTAAATAGAAGCAGAGAAATGAATGAAACAGGTCAGTGCAAATTTCAGTAAAAACTGATTAAAATTAGAAAGTCATGAACCTTTTAATGGGCGATCAATCCAACACAAATTGGCAATTTTTAATCATACAGTCACCCTAAATGTAATTATTGCATATTAGTTTTTTTAAACCACTGTATGAAACAAATCTGTCCTTTTATCAATAACTATGAAAATGAAGGTTCATGAAAGGTTCAGTAACAAACAAATTGGAGAGGAGCTTGCAAGATACGTCACTGTGTTGCCAATTTTTGTTTCACGAATGACAAAATAACAAGTTCGCAGGTTTCATGTTTCGTATGTTTGCTTTGAGTGTGACATTTACCCCTTTTTCCATTTGTTCATTTTGCTTTCATAATACAGTTATCTGGACATCATGATTTTGAAGAGCTACATTGCTGCAAAAACAACGTTGCCCCAAGGAGAGAGTTAGCTACATCCACTTGAGGAACTGAAAGTAGACATTTATGCTGCCCATGGGTATTCCACTCCACTATTTGCAACAAGCCTTGTGAGAAATCGGCACATCTGAACGTGAAGTTGCTCAACCGAGGGATACCAGTTTTTATTATCAGTGCTTGAGAAACAGAATGATTCATAGCAGAAATTGACACCCATCACATCACAAGAACTGCTTCACAAACACTTTTATTCTTAAAAAAAGTACAGCAGGTTATTTGAACATTTAAACTTGAAATTTGGCTGACAGAGGGGTGCAAGTATTCAAAGGATGCAGAGAACATTGGCAACGGCAGCAGGGCAGTGCATCCATCGTCACTCCTCACATCGCTTCAAGAATGAGGATCACAAGTATTCAAGTTATGCAAAGAACATTGGCAACGGCAGCAGGGCAGAACATCAATCGATACTCTTCACATCGCTTCAAGAATGAGGATCACAAGTATTCAAGGTCTGCAGGGAACATTAGCAATGACAGCACGGCAGAGCATCAATCGACACTCCTTGCATCATTTCCAGAATGAGGATCACAAGAGAGGTTTGGCTGTCTTGTTTGTGTCATGGCCACGATTGATGGTTGCGAAGTTGTGTCGATGAGTCTGTGTCTGCATTTCCTAATCATATGCAGAGACTTTTGCATTGTTTTGTAGGGTGTGACTTCGGCCTAGTGTGACTGCTAGAGGGTGGTGATCTGATATTTGTTTTAGGTTTTATTATTTAGATGTTGGCCTGCGCTGCAATTTGATTTTACATGGTGGTTTTACATAAGTGATGGAACCAGTTATAGAGGTCAAGAATTTTGAATTTGTTTTAAAAATAATTTGTGCTGGAGCAGTTGTTGTTGGAACATGTGTCGTAAAATCCAGAGAGGCAAAAATATTCTTGTGAGATATTGAATACACCCATGAGGGCAGAAATTCTGGCCCTATTACCCCCACTCCTTCAAAAAAGTCCCCCCCCCCCAAAAAAAAAAAAGAGGGAAAAAATGATTATATCATTATAGCATTACTATAATTTAACTGAAAGTGTTTATTTAAAAAAACATACTTTTACAGAAAATTTGGTTATGTCAAAGAGATGAAGAGTTTCACCAACTGTGGATTATACCTACCTGTTACAAGTCCTGAAAAGGTTTAATTTAGTGTGATTCTGGTTTGTGTGTTGAACGTCTATGTATGATTACAGTTTGTTTGTGTATGACCATGTGATATGATATGATTACTAAACCAGCTACCCTTACTCAAAGCCTAGACCTGTTGAAATAGATCTAAATGGACAAGCAAATTTCTGCTGTTTTTAAACTTAGTTGGAACAAAATAGATCTTCTGCAGACATGTTAGGATGTTTCAGTGCCTAAAACAGACCATACGATGTGATATTGCAAAATATTTAGCTCTACATGTATATTCTAATGAAAGCTCTTTGGCTATGTGAGCGAATGAGACCATGCTGCTTGCATTTTTGCGGCTAAGAGCCCCTTTATTTCTACTGTCTCTGAGTTTAGCTGCATGCTTTTAGGGATGATTTTACGCTCAGCCATGCGAAGTAACCGTTTGATGGAGACAAACTCGCTTGTTTTGTTTTTTTTAGGAAATGAAAAAAACATGCAGTAGTGATTTAAATCATCTTTGTTTTAATGAATGAACATTTATTGGTTTGAATATTTGTCAAATAAAAGCAACAAAGGAACTCTTCCCAGATGGGATATAACAAAGTATGCTTTGTCTTTTTCTACATTGAAAAATATCTTGTAGACAAAAATCAAATCAAATAGATTCAAGCGTCTATAATTCTAAAACTTCTTTCCCTTAAACAATCGAGCCCATGGCGTTTACTGTCATCACAGAGAATTTACCTAGAAGTAAGGACAGCACGCAGGGCAAGGTTGTTTGGGGGTCAGCTGGATAATGTACTTTCTGTGCAAAGTCAACACTGTAATGAAACACTATGGGCTTGGAATTAGCAGGATTTTTTCCTAGCTTCTTGATGGAAAGCTCTCTAGTGACTGCCTTTGAGCCTTGACAGGCTGTCCGTTAAGTATCCCTCTCTCTCTAGGCCCCTAGAAGATGCTCCTCCTGCCTCCTGAGTGCTTCTGTCTTCTGTTCATCAGGAACATTGACCTGCAGACATGAGGGAAAAAAGCAAAACAAAACAAAAATCTGATTAGTCAAAATATCTCATCTGCTATTTTTCTCCGAACAGGTTATTTCAATTTGATTGGTGGAAAGGTCTGCTTTGGTGGCATGGTTTGTTTTTCTGTATATGGCTCTTTCTATAAATAGAGGGCCCATAGTGTGACATTAAGGTCAACATTTCATATTCATGCCATGTTGCTCAAACTCCGGTCATAGTGAGAACAAATCAAGTAAAAAAAAAAAAAATACAATCATATCATGGGTTTAGCTGTATCTTAGGTTACACTCATTTGTATTGTAGCTCGCTCGAAAAAATCCCAATGTAACAGAGAAACCAAATTTTCACTTCGCACTAATTTTATAGATATTTATCTAGAGATTTCATACATTCAATCACAATTTTTAAAACTGCCCTTGGATCCACTTTTTAAAACTAGATAGAAAAAAATGGAAATTTTTTTCTTTCTCCCAAAAGCGTGATTTTTTATTTTCACAAAATCGCATAATGAGTTAAAATTTAATATGTAAACTTAAAATGGCATTCCTTTTATGAATTACACATTTCAAATCTTGTAAAGCTACTGAATTATAATGATTTGCAACATACTTAATAAATATTTTACTCAACAATCCATATCTTAGACCAGTTTTGTCAAATTAGCTATTAAGAGAAGAAAATCCCAGTGTAACGGGAAACCATGTGTATGGTTTCTTTGTTACACTGTGAAGTCCTACAAATTTCTAGCCTGAAAAAACAATATAAAATCAAACAAAAACATAATTATATCCATGTTAAAATAATCCAATGGATTACCCCAGAAGACTACTACCACCATTAACATAATTTTCACTATCACCAAAACATTCCCATTACCACTATATTTGAAAACTCCCAATGTAACGGAGAAACCGGGTTCTTAGTTACCCTGTGCATTCTGCGGTATTTTTGTTGGAGTGATTGTATTTTAAACCAACCTCTGAACTTTTATTTTGTGTTGGAGACTTTTTCTCCTTGCTTCCTTGGAACGAACATCTTTTCCTTGGTCATCCAGTTCTTGTTTCTTCTTATCAATTTCTTCTTGTTTCTGGTTTAGTTGTCTTTCTAGCTCCTGCAAACGCTTATTTTCTTGCTCTAACTTCTCCTTCTCTGCTTTAAGTTTCAATTCTTCCTCAAATTGTACCTGTTCTCTTTGTTTCTTCACAGCATACTTCGCACGTCTGTTTGCCAACATCCTTTCATGTTCTTCTTTGCTCATTGTCTCTCGCTGTACCTTTTTCCTGTCTCTCCAAACCTGTTTCTGTGTCTCATGTTTTTCTCTAATTTGCCTTGTCTGATGTTTTGCTTTTTTTTCCCCCTTTTTCTGCTCGTTCAACTTTCTCTTCTGCCTCATTTTTCGCATCCTTTGTTTTGCGGCTTCATTGAGTCGCTTTTTCCTTTCCAACAGTTTTGGAATGTTTTCTCTCTCTTTAGCGCTCAAATTTCGTTTGGTAGCCATCTGGTCACTTGAGTATGCTTCTATCCGATACAAGCTGCTCTAAATTCTGCTGTGTACCAACGTCTTTTCATATTTTGCTGGGTCTTTTGCTTTCATGTCATCTCGCCAAGACTTTCTTGGCACATGTTTACTAAGGCCAGGCATGGTGAGCAAGGAATTTATCGTTGTCAATGATGGCTAAAATCTGTTAACATGAACAAAAAAATAATGGGGGGAAAATTTAATATGTCATGTTCACATCATACTATTTTCTACAAGCATGAATTTATATAACTGTGCCTAGCACAGCGCTGTGACACAGCGTGGCTTGAAATCTTGCAGGTACATTTTTTTAGATGTGCGACGAGGTAAAACATAGCCTTTACTTACAAAATTATTTGAATTTGTTTCGCTCTGAATTACCTTTAGTGATTGAACTTATCAACTTAACTTAAGTTATCCTTCTTTTTTAGCAAATTATATGCAATGTACATTAAGTTCAATCACTAAAGGTAATTCAGAGCGAAACAAATTCAAATAATTTTGTAAGTAAAGGCGATTTTTTTTTTACCTCGTCGCACATCTACAAAAATGTACCTGCAAGATTTTGAGCGACGTCGCGTCACAGCTACGCACAGCGCTGATCACAGTTAGAATTTATACAGTACAAGCAGCATTCTCATATTCATATTTCTAACGGTTTTGTCTTCTTAAGTTCATTATGATTATCAGACTTCAACATTCACACACAAGTATACTTATTTATAGTGGCAGCTGCAGTGACACATGAACACACACACACACACACAGAAGAAACCCAGCACAGTGACAGTGTACACATCTTTATTCTTATACAATATAAAAACCATCAAATTTAATGCAACAATTTTTCTTTATCAGTTTATGCATGTCTTCGTCATCTTTTTATGACCTTTTTTTTAGTTTTTATTACCTCCATTTTATTTAATCAATGTTTCAATAAATTACAAAATACAAGGATTGTGTCAATGTTTTCCTTGATTGATTTTTTTTCTTCTTTTGTTCATTTTCTTATTCACTGTTGCATATTTGTCCCCCACTTCAAAATCTAGTTTTGAATTCATAATTCTTAAGAATTACTTTACTGAACTGAATTTATAGTTTAAATTATACACAACTTGCTTGCAAGTCAGCGTGACCGACACACTTCAAAAGTCAAATTCATGATACAAACTTGCGACACAAATCTATACTTCAGTTTCGTAGCATGGCAACGCCAAAAAGAGCAAGACATTATTTGTATTTATAGTTAAAAATCCCTTTACTTTTTCTGCATGGCCGGGAAAATTTGGGAGTTAGCGCCAAACTCTTACATGTTACACAATTTTCAATATGTGGGACTGTAATTAAGGTTTGACTCAAAAGCAAATTTCTTCGCAAATTAAACGAAATGAAATGAAGTAATAAGTATTAAAAGCATGGTTATTCTCATGATTTCAAAAATATGGATCATAGTTTTACTGCCGATTTTATTATGCAAAGAAAAGAACAGAAATTCACGGTAACTTACCTTTTCTGGGCTAAATTTGACAACAGAAATCTGGGTCCGTTCGCCTCAGATCTCGGTCACTCGGTCAATGAATGGGAGGTACGAATATTTCGCGGGGGTACCTGGATTATTTTACTGCTATAGATTCTCTTTTTGGGTTACAAAATGAGGAATACTCATTGAATATTTTATTTCGTTGCTGTGTTATATCAACAGTGACAATTACATTATTTAATGAGCAAATCTGCTCCTGCAACATATCATATATTGACCCATGTGTATTGGTGTGTCCCCCAACGCAAGTGGACGAGTCCACTGTCGTGTTAGAATACTTTGAACAAAGATTTGACATCCACTGCTTAAAAATAAAAGTTTCTCAATCACAAATGTCATTAAATCGTAAAAAATGAAAGAAACGAGCGCCTGTCCATTATTCGTAACGAACAATGGAATAATGTTTAACATATTTCGGCAGCCAATGAGGGAAGCGTGTCAGAACTCATTCACAAAAATAGTTGTACTGGTATCTCACTTCGTAACATTTCTACCGTCGTAACGAGGGGAAACCACACGTATAAAATGACGTAGAAGACAGGAAAAAATGGTTGGGGTACAGTCCTGCCTCTAAGCATGCTGGGTATTTGGCATTCTTCACAATGGTACGATTCGCCGTGGTCAACTTCACTCGGGGCGAACAGACATGTTTGTCAAATGTTCACTTCGTAACAAAATTGCGAGAATCCAAGTGTTATTGGTTGATGTTAGTTCTGGAAATTCTGTGAAAATTCTCTGCCATAGAAATGCTGTCAGAGTTCTTATAAACCCATTGTTGTTTTCTTGAAAGATTTGTATTTGTTTTCCGATGAGTTGACTCGGATTTTTTTTGTACCGCTATTCAATAGCGTCTGGTCCCGACGTAACATATCGAGAAACGAAATGTTACGAAGTTCAGTATGTAAACAAATCGACCTCGAATAATTTTAGACATCAAGCGACGGGAAAAGACCATGATAAGTTGAAACAAAGTAGATAATTTACGTGGTATTGTGTGCTGCAATCAAGAGTAAACATTATTTAAGTGTTTTAAAGGCAGTTTAATATGGGAAAGTAAAATGTCACAATTCTTGCTTGAAATCATGGTGAGAAACCATGGATTATTTTTTAAATAACAAAAATAAAAATGATATCCATTTTGCAGACAATGCATCATAAGGATGTTATATTAATACTTTGTTGAAATATATGAAGAAAAAAAACAATACTCAATGCATGGGTGAGAAAATAGTAAAAGTATAGCACACCTACATGAAATACTGCATGGGCCCTCTATTTATAGAAAGAGAAATATATAACAAAAAGAACAAGAAACAGAGGGGATGTGGTACATGAGCAATGCCATTAAAAAAATTGCAAAGTTGTGTAGATGAGTAATTTTGCATTTCCAAATCATATGCCGAAACTACGGAAGCGTTAAAGTGCCATTCTACTTGACGACATGACGAGATATTTCATCTTGTCAAGTCGACTTAATATCCATATCATGTCGACATGTAAAGATATTTAACCTACCATGTCGACTTATCAACTTTTATTAGTCAACATGGCGAAATAAATTATCTTGCCAAGTCGACTTCACAAAAAGTTCATGTCGTCATGGCGACATAAGTTATCTTACCAAGTCGACTTCTAAAAAAATACATGTCGTCATGGCGAGCAGTGTTGGAGAGCATGAAAACTTTGTTTTGTCAACTGGAAAAATTGAGCAAAGATATAAATTACTCTTTTTTTTACCATGATATGTATATAGGGTGGCCAAAAAATAAATACAACACCCAATTTATTTATAACTCCCTATGACTTGAAATCATACTTTTTGATTTCACTGGATAATAATTTTTTTATGAGCCAAATAAAACCAAAATTATCAATTGATTCCAGAGCTCTTTTTACATTTACCCCATTACTTATCTGCTGGATAAACAAACATAATGGGAATAAACTACACATTTTAAATGTTAAACACTTTAAAACATGTTTGAAACAAGTGCAAGTAGAAACATATTTTACTTAACTATTAACATTTGGTTTTAGTATCTAAAATGAGAATATAAGTGAATAATGACAGCTACAAAAGTTGAACGATAGTACGAAATTAATATCTCTACCCCAGAACTCTACTCTTGTTTTAAAAGAGCATAATGTGTAATATATCAGATTAAACTCTATGC